CAGCAGACCTTATCTCTACAATAAATCAAAAAATTAGCCAGGCGTGGTAGCGCGTGCCTGTAGTTCCAGCTACTCGGAAGGCTGAGGCGGAAGGATCTCCGGAGCCCAGCAGGTCGAGGCTGTGGTGGCCGGGAGCCCGTGGCCAGGAACGTGCCACTGCACTCCGGTCTTGGCAACAGAGTGAGACTCCAACTCAAAAAAATAAAAATAAAATAAAACAATAAAAATAAATAAATAAATAAATGAGATGAAGTCATAGCCAAGACAGTAGATGTAGAGACACTAAATCCAAGCAGGAAAGAAAGGAATGGAAGAACGTTAAGTGGGAGGAGATTCAGAAAGGGTTTCACAGAGTCTCCATACTTACCCTCAATGAGGAGCCAATTGTTAATGACAGTCTGAATGTTGGAGTAGAAGAGGCGGGTGATGTCATGACCCATTTCTAGGTAGGAGATGTGAACCAAGGAGCCAGCTGATGTACCCAAAGATTTCTTGCATAGGATGCCCATGATCAGCTCACCATTCTCTACCACCACCTAGGGACAACGCACCATTCAAGATCTCTGGTCCTGGCTCCCATGTTCAAATCTTATCCCCACATACACCAAGAAGCCAGGCCCTACCTTGGTGTCCCCAGGAGATATGTGCTTGTAAGGGCCACTGTCCTCATCATCAGGGTGGGTGCTGTGGGTACGGATACAATTGATGTGGCCAGGTATGATGAGGGAGAAGATCTGCTTGCCTGTCCACAAGGGCCGGGGCTTTAGGATGGCCGGCTGCGGGACTTTCCCATCCCATGTGGACAGGAACATTAGGAGGTTCATCACTTCACCCTGTAAGAGTAAGAAAGATGAGAAGTCAGATTGTAGGTCTTACATGTCAGGAATGTCAACGGAATGTCAAGGAGCCTTCCTTGTGCAAGGAGAAAAGCCAGATTGTGGAGGCAAAGAGATGTCAGCAAAAGTGCCTCCTAAACTTGTAATCAAAAAATTCATTTTAATAGTGAAACTTTTGTTTTTGCCCTTTCCTGACAAATATAAATTTATTGTTAATAATTAGAAAATAAATGAAAGTAAAAATAAAGAAACAGAAAACATTTTAACTCGGTCCTATGTATTTTTCCCTGTAAAGGCATTTACATTATATACAATACCTGGAATTATACAAAATTTAAAGAATTAAATGGTGAGCTAAAGCCATAAACCTTTTTTGGCCTCCAATTTTTCCTAACCACCTATCCTTTCACCTCATCAAAAAAGGCGGTCTTATATACAGATCACTGTAGAACAAGTTATGGAAAAAAAAACACAGTTCATCCTCCCTGGCCACCATAAACCTGCCACATTCAAGTCCCTCTGCCCACCCAAGCCAGGTTTCCATTTGGACCACACACCCGCTCCAAGAAGACGTCTCTTTTAGTGAATTTGCGCACTGCTGTGAGTGTGTCCTGTACGATGCCCATGACAGGTCGATTGCTCTGGGGGGTAACAATCATGCGAGGCACCATGGCCAGTTCCTGGATCTCAGCCCGGGTCTCCAGAGACTGTGGCAGATGCAAGTTCATCTCATCCCCATCAAAGTCGGCATTGTACGGAGTTGTCACACTAAAGTGAAATAGAGAAATCAGAATCAGAAAGATGCTGCTGCAAAACTTTGAGGAGCTGCCCAGCCTACCTCCAACACTCCAACCTCAGCCTGCTTCCCTCAGCTAGGGACTAACCTAAGATTCAAGCGAAAAGTAGACCAGGGGAGGATGCGGACCCGATGCCCCATCATGGACATTTTGTGCAGAGTTGGCTGCCGGTTGAAGATTACAATGTCCCCGTCACACATGTGCCGTTCCACCTGGGGAGGTGAGACAACAAAAAGGTCTCAGTGAAGCAGATATGCTAAGAATGAAATGATATTGAACCTAAATTCCTTTGTAGACTGAAAGAAATAACAACATGGTATTAATTCACTTGAAACACTTATTAAATACTCCCTTTGGGACAAGCCCTGGGCCAGACCTCAGGTTATTAGGGATGAATAAAATGTAGTATCTACCAATCTCAAGGAACTCAATCTGGAGAGAAAGCCAAGAGAGAGTGAACATGAAGCCTTCTGTGCCATTCCTCCATGGGCCACTCTTCCCTGCCATATGCATGCTGCTCCTGGGTTTATGTAATCCCTATTCTGATTCGCAATGGCTAGCAGTTCCTAGCACATCTGGGACACAGTAGCCTTTAAAAGAAACAGTCAGCCGGGCTCGGTGGCTCAGCCTGTAATCCCACGCCTTTGGGAGGCTGAGGTGAGTGGATTGCCTGAGCCCGCGGGTTCGAGACCCGCCTGGGCAGTGAGACCTCATCTCTATAATAAATCAAAAAAATCAGCCGGGCATGGTAGCACATGCCTGTAATTCCAGCTACTTGGAAGGCTGAGGCGGAAGGATCGTCGGAGCCCAGCAGGTCGAGGCTGCAGTGGCCAGGAGCGGCCACTGCACTCCAGTCTGGGCGACAGAGTGAGACTCCAACCCAAAAAATAATAATAATAATAATAATAAAGAAACAGTCAAGTCTAGATCCTAATAAACAGGACAGCCTTGGACAGCCCACCCTAGCCTGCCCAATTTCAGAAAGCTTCCTGCTCAGGTGGCTGGGAGACACCCTGGCCCATTACGTGCCTTATAGCCAGTCTGCAGGTGAAGGTCACTGGGCTTGGGATGGAAACGCAAGTCAATGCGATCGCCATTGTCTCGGATGATGTATTTGGCTCCAGGGTACTGGCTGTTCCCCCTGCGCACTAGTTCCTGAAGTCTAGGAAGGAAAAGGTGCAATAAACAAATCTTTCCCAAAAAGCCCCTGCTACTACCCTCACCCTGAAGGCCCAAATAGAAGTCAAACTTCTTAACTTCTAAGCAGCCCCACCTCGTTCCAAGCCCACTCCCCCAGGTGGAAAGAGCACACCCTTCTCGAAGTCTCACTACTGAGGCCTCATCCCTGGCCACTCTAGGTAAGGCTTTCAAACCGAGGCACACCTGTCAATGTTGAAGGGGGTGACAATCTCCGCAAAGGTCATGTTGGCAGCAATGGAGCGGGGCACGCCAACCTGGTCAATGGAGAGGTTAGGGTCGGGGGTAATGACAGTGCGAGCCGAGAAGTCCACTCGTTTGCCCATCAGGTTCCCTCGCACCCGGCCTTCCTTGCCCTTCAATCGCTGCTTCAGGGACTTGAGGGGACGCCCAGACTTCTGCATGGCCTATGAGAAAAAAGGGTAGGGTCAACCAGTCAGTCAACACTGGGCCTTTCTCCAGAGCTCCAATGCCTAGTGCTAGCCCCCAACCCTGACTCCAATCCACAGGGAGTGGGGAGGATGCTGACTCACACGGGGCAAGCCAGGCAGTTCATTGTCCACCATTGTGGCCACATGGAACTGAAGGAGCTTCACATCCTCTGCAATGACATGGGCCGCTGCACCATTCTGCTCATTGCGCCGCAGCTGATTGTTGATCTTCACAATGTCAGCCAGTTTGTGAGTCAGGTCATCCTGAGGTAGGAAGTTGGCATTATCAACAGCCCAGCCACCACTGAGAGCGCCTGGCAGGCAAGTCCCAGGCACACAGTGCAGCTCCCATCCTCATGCCACCCTGGGAGGCAGGGCTGCTCACTCTCGTGTATAGATAGAGAAACACCTTTGTGAACTTTAACCATATGAAGCATCTCATTAAAGGTCATACAGCTAGTAAATGGCAGGTATTTCCAAACATATCTCTGTCTGCCCAACCCAGCCCCACCTGCAAGGGCTTCATCCCGTCAGACACTTGGCCCTCCAGCTGAAAGGCAGAATCTTGGAGACACTGACCTGGTTGCGGGCAGAGCCCTGCATCACAACAGCAGGCCGCACGGAGAGTGGGGGCACAGGCAGCACTGTGACAATCATCCACTCGGGACGGGCATAGCGGGGCTCCATGCCCAGCACAAAACACTCCTCATCTGAGATGCGTTTGAAGATCTCATGTACTCGCTCTGGACTCAGTAGGATCTTCTTCTCTTGAGAGTCCTCGTTAACATGCTTCCACTCTGCGTACAGTTCCAGACCAGAGCGCCGGATCCTAGGCTGGTACCGTCCACAGCCACCATGGCCCTTCCGAGGAGAGAGAGGAGCCATCAGAGCCCAGACACTGAGCCATTTCCCTCCATACCAGGGCAGGTCCTCCCATTGCTCCACGACCTTCTGGTTCCTCTTTCGTCTGCAGCCTTCTCTTGTTCCTCCCTCCAGGCGTGCAGCCTTCTCTTGTCCCTCCCTCTATGGTCACCTCCTGATCCCTCCTTCCCAACAGTCTCTCACAGCCCCAGTCACCTTTTCTTTGGTCAGATCCTCATCACCCTCAGGCTGCTCCACACCGAACTTGTTGTCCATCTCCTCCCCACCCTCGCAGATGTTTTTGCCCTTGCAAAGGTCGTAGACATGTGTGAGCCGTTTCTTGGGCTGCCCCTTGGACTTAGCCAGAATGTCCTTGATCTTTGGATTGTTCTGGGGAAAAAGCAGAGCAGAGTCAGTTGGGTTGCCCCCCCACCCCAGCCAGTCAACCCCACCTCCCAGGCCAGGACCCGTCCCCCACTCACAGAGTCCACAAGCAGTTTGGAGCAGAAGAAGCAGACACAACGCAAAACTTTCATTGTCTTCACCAGGAAGCCCACGTGAAACACAGGCTTGGCCAGCTCAATGTGGCCAAAGTGGCCAGGACATTCTGTCATGTTTCCTGTGAGAAACACACCTGATGCTTTCCTCCTAGCTCCCACTTATCTCACAGGCCTCCAGATGTCCACCCTCAGTCCTGGTTTTCTTTAGGACCCAAGCCTCTTCCCTTGGGGATCTCATTCAGCCCCCAGCACTTACCTGCACATGTTTGGCAGCGGCCAGTCCGCTCAATCACCCCCTGTCTTGGATCCATCAGCCCCCCAAGCTTGGGGCGGCCTCCCTCAGTCGTCTCTGGATATTTGATACCACCCTCCGTCACAGACATTCGCTTCTGTAGATAAGAAAGAAAGGACAACCAAATAGGGTTCCTAGTTTCTAGCTTGTTATTAGAGCACTCTGTGTAAAGCCCTAAGAAAACCTCAAACTATTTAAGAAGAACTAACCAAGTTTAATCTGGGGTGAGGGGAATGGGGGATTGGTGTATATATACTTCTGGAAAGGCCAAAGCTGAGTATCACAAGTCAAAAGCTTAATTCTAGTCACTGAGACAAAGAGAGCACTAATACCAGACTGTGATTCCTGGTCTCCAAACAAACTGTCTACCATTAGGACTTGAACCCCAGAGATACTTTTGGGTTGAATTCTAGGTCATTGACATAAATAAGATTCAACCACAAAAAGAAATAAAGTTATTTCAAGGGGAAAAAAAACCCCAACAGCAATGCCTTATTTTTTTCCCTCAAGTTGAAATCTAGCTCTTGAATCTGAGACCCTGGCAGGAACCTCTCAGTACCTGCACTCTCGCCAAGACATGCCCTGCCAACTCTCAGTTCCGGATGAGGAACAAGGCACTCAGAGATGTAGTCTTGCCTCTTTACCCCCATCTTTGTCACCTCCTCCTTCTTGAACTAACTGAACCCTTTCATGTCCAGATGGAGATTTTATGAAAACACTGAAAAGGCCAGGCTTGGTAGCTCAGCCTGTAATCCCAGCGCTTTAGGTGGCCAAGGGGAGTAGATTGCCTGAGCCCGCGGGTTCAAGACCCGCACGGGCAACTTGGCGAGACCTCATCTCTACAAAAGATCAAAAATCAGCAGAGCATGGTAGCGTGCGCCTGTAATTCCAGCTACTTGGAAGGCTGAGGTGAAAGGATCGCCGGAGCCCAGCAGGTCAACGGTGGCCGGGAGCATGCCACTACCCTCCAGTCTGGGCGACAGAGTGAGACTCTAACTCAAAAAAAAGAAAAAACTGAAAAGACAGGAGAACCAGATGGTAGAAGGACATGTTGGTGGAAATGATTTGGAGCATAAGTGAATGGCTGGAATCCCACAAAAGGTGGATCTGGGACTCAATGACTCAATGGGGCCACTTTGGTGAATCAAAGTAGAAAACAGAAGAACTCAGAAGTAGGTGGAAAAGAGATTTTTGGGCCAAGTATGGTGGCTCATATCTGTAATCCTAGTACTTGGGAGGCTGAGGCGAGAGGACTGCTTGTACCAAGGAGTTTGAGACCAGCCCTGGCAACATGGTGAGACCCTGTCTCTACAAAAAATTTTTTAAAAAAATCTGCTGGGCATGGCAGTGTGCGCCTTTAGTCACAGCTACTTGGGAGGCTGAGACAGAAAGATCACCTGAGCCAAGGAGGTCGAGGCTGTGGTAAGCTGTCATCGTGCCACTTCACTCCAGCCTGGGTGACAAAGTGAGTCTCCAATTAAAAAAAAAAGAGATTTCTGCCCTAGGATAGGGTTGGTCGAGGTAACTTTTAGCATCCTTTCATACAAGGAAAACTTTAATTAGATAGGCTTTGGTCCACTAAACTTCCAGAGGGGAGAACTTAGAAGAATTTAATAAAAGCTTCTATTTGATTGTCAACTTCAAGCCAGGCACCAAACTTGTTTCTGTAATCCTAGCTGCTAACCTCCTAGAAATGAAGGCATGGGATTTCCGGAGCCCAACAGGTCGAGGCTGCAGTGGCTGGGAGTGGCCACTGCACTCCAGTCTGGGTGACAGAGTGAGACTCCAACTCAAAAAAAAAAGAAATGAAGGCATGAAGACATGAGAAATCTGATGCTGCAGGAAGTGACTTACCTAATGCCCTAATCTCAAAAAACCAGCAGAAGTCAAATCTGATCCTCTCAGTCTGGTCCCAAACACGTGCTCCCACAATTCTACCATGCTGAGGCAGAAATAATTATACTCTAGAATACATCTTTCTTGGGGCTGAGCACAGTGATAGCTGAATCACTCACCTTCACAACTAACTTACAAAATAACCAACACTGTCTCCAATTTGCAGATTACAAAACTTGAAAGGCCCAAGATCATGCAACTAGAAAGTAGTGGAACCAGGATTTGAACCCAGGACTGCTGGTTTCACCTGTGCATTCTTTCTACTACATCAGAAAACTGCAGTGATTACAAGTGCTTATACACAGTTATCTTTCTAAGTATCACATCTCTTTCCACTACCATCACATCCCTGAAATGACTCCAGCTAAGCCAGTGAGCTCCATTCTGCCAAATCCAATCTACCACCCAAATGGGCCACTTCCTTGAAGTTCTCCCTCTGCTTCCACACCACCACTCCATTCCTACCTCTCTGGTGGGTATTGCCTCTTCATCACCTTCCTAGGCTCTTCTGCCTTAGTCTGCTTCTAAACACTACTATTCAGCTACTTGGAAGGCTGAGGCAGAAGGATCATCTGAGCCCAGCAGGTCAAGACAGCGGTGGCCGTGAGCATTCCACTGCACTTCAGCCTGGGCAACGGAGTGAGACTCCAACTCAAAAACAAAAACAAAACAAAACAAAACACTACTATTCTCCAGGGTCTTAGCTCATCCACCCTTGTCATTGTGCCCTATATGGTGTCCTATGATTTTTACTGTATAGAAATAACTTGTTTTATTGCCCTCTGCAGATACTTTTTTTCCCTTACAAAGAAAAGGTATGTGGCAACCCTGCATTGAGCAAGTCTATTGGTGCAATTTCCAACAGCATGTGCTCACTTCGTGTATGCGTCACATTTTGATAATTCTCACAATATTTCATACCTTTCTGTTATTATTATTGTATGTTACGGTGATCAGTCATTTTTTTATGTTATCATGGCAATTGTTTTGGAGTGCAACAAACCATGCCAATATAAGGCAGCAAACAATCAATAAATGTTGCATGTTCGCACCGCTCCATTGACCTGCTGCTCCCCTATCTTTTTCATCCTCAAGCCTCCTTATTTACTGAAACAGTGTGATACTGAAATTAGGCCAACTAATAACCCTACAATGGTCTCCAAGTGCTCAAGTGAAAGGAAGTGTTACATACTTTTCACTTTAAATCAAAAGCTAGAAATGCCATTATTTAAGGTTGACATTTTGACTAAAAGAAAAATATTAAAGTAAAAAAAGAAAATCCAGAAATGATTAAGCTTAGTGAGGAAGGCATGTCAAAAGCAGAGATAGTCCAAAAGCTAGGCCTCTTGTGCCAAACAGTCAAATTGTAAATGAAAAGTCATTGAAGGAAATTAAAGTACTACTTGAGTGAACGTATGAATAAGAAAGCAAAACAGCCTTATTGTAACATGGAGAAAGTTTTAGTGGTTCAGAGAGAAGCCCAAACCAGCCACAACATTCCCTTAAGCCAAAGCCTAATCCAGAGGAAGGCCCTAACTCTCTTTAAGGCAACTGAGGTGGGAAAGTTACAGAAAAGTTTAAAGCCAGTAGAGCTAGCATTCATAAGGTTTAAGGAAAAAAGTCATCTCCATAACATAAAAGTGCAAGGTGAAGCAGCGAGTGCTGATGTAGAAGCTGCACCAAGTTATCCAAAAGATCTTGCTAAGATAATTGACAATGGCGGCTACACTAAACAGCAGACTTTCACTGTAGACAAAATAGCTTTCCACGGGTGGAAGATGCCATCTAGGACTTTCATAGCTAGAGAGAAGTCAATGCCTGGCTTCAAAGTTTCAAAGGACAGGCTAACTCTCTTGTTAGGGGCTAATACATTGGGTGACTTTGAGTTGAAGCCAATGCTCACTTGCTATTTCAACAATTCTAGGGCCCTCAAGAATTATGCCAAATCTACTCTGCCTGTGTTCTATCAATTAAACAACAAAGCCTGTGACTGCACACCTATTTACAGTATGAGGCTCACTTGAGATCAGGAATCTGAGATTAGCCTGGGCAGCAAAGTGATACTCTGTCTCTACAAAAAATTAGCCAGGCATGGTGGTGTGGCCTCTAAAGTTTCAGGTACTCAGGAAGCTATAGCAAGGGGATTGCCTGATCCCAGTAAGTCAAAGCTGCTGTGAGCTGTGATGGTGCCACTGCACTCCAGTCAGAGCAGAGTGAAACCCTGTGTCAGAAAAAAAAAGAGAAAAAAGAAAAAAAAAAACCCACAGTTAAGACATGCTACTAAGAAAAAAAAGATTTCTTTAAAAATATTACTGCTAGTCGGGCTCGGTGGCTCAGCCTGTAATCCCGCGCCTTTGGGAGGCTGAGGTGAGTGGATTGCCTGAGCCCGCGGGTTCGAGACCCGCCTG